CAGCCTCAGCATTTGATGCAATTTGATCATTAAATCACCCCACAGAGAGAGATGCAGCAGAACTACCCTCAGAGGAGGCACACTGAGAACAGCAACTCAGAAACACAGGGGTAAAGCTCCTCTGAGGGCAGATAGTTCTTACACACCCAAAGAGCTTTGTTTTTAGTTATGTAAACAAGAGAAAAATGCCGTCAGTTTTAATTGCGGGATAAGGGGGACTGCCTCAGCTTTCAGAAGTTTGGGCAACTCTCTTCTACTAACAAATTTCAAATATTATTTTTTAAAAAACTATTCTTCTCTACATGACTGGATACATCTGAATACTTAATAGTGGAAGCCGTCTTTAGCACTAAAAGTTAGTGAAATATTCGTTTCTGCTTAACAAACATTAAAAACAGTTTCAGTTCTTTTCACATTAACAAATAAATTCCACTGGTTTCATAAATATGTTCAAATCTTACAGCAAAAAGAAATGTGAACTATACACAGCTACGTTTTTAAAACATTGCCTGAAATCTTAAAACACCAAAAACAAACAGAAAAAGGCTGTACTGAAAGGGGAAGCATCTCTAAGCCCCAACGGTAGTGACAGCAAAAAATGGTATAAAGAGGTTCTCATATTAACATCCTATTCTTTTTTATGCATTCACCCAATCCTTTACTGCTTGCACATTAACACTTCAGTTGTGACGCACAACTGATTTAACAGTACTTTTCATGTTGCCCATTATGTATCTAGCTTGATTTTCAGTATCTAAACTGCCCCTGCAATGACAATCAAAAACTATTTAAGTGTTCATTTTACAGATATTTTTGAAAGCTATTAAAAGGCCGACTGCCAACAACTTGCTATAGAAATGCTGTACCCTTCTATATTCTTCAGTAAGCTTTTCAGAACTATCTGTACTTCTGTATTGCATATAAAAGCATTTATATATAAACCTCTGGTCAATGCAATATTTAGACTCTTAAAGAAAGTATTGCCAATTGTAATTGTTTATTATCAAGATAACCCCTTTGAACTTGCACACATCTAAGGCTTTAGTTTACATAAAGTACACATCTTTAATGTGAAGATTTGCATCTGAGGCCATTCACTGAAATCAGCATCAATAAGCTCCTCTAGTCACATTGCAAATAATTTTGGCATTTCCCCCAGAGATTTCTGCCTCCTAACATAGTATGTATCAATACTGAACTTTAAATTATCCCAAGTATATCCACAACTTATAAAGAGGCTTGTTTCATCATGATAAAAACAAGTGAAGAAATGAATCTTTATCACTTGCTTATTACACTTTCCCCCCATGTGAATCCAGATCAGGTGACCCAATCAAGCCTCATTAAACATACTATTTGAATGAACACACCAGTTAATATCAAACTTGAGAAGTCATAGATTGGAAGACTTTCTCTGTTAGTAAAAAAGGAGATTTAATTCAGCATCCTGTTAATGCGTTTCATCATCAAGATACTTATCAAGACACTTATCAAGCTGTTAACATTTATTTTGAAAGGGCTATCCAGACAAATAAGCTTTCATTAAATCCATTAAATGTGGTCACTTTCACAGCACTTTGTAAACAAAATTTCACCCAGACTTTGGGGGAGCCTACCAGATAAGCAGAGAGCAGCTACACAGGTTCCCTATGGCAGGAGATTACATCCTGATATAGGGAGCTTGCTGGGGAGAGGTATCCCTGTCAGACTCATTCTTGTTAGAATTACACTACTAGGGAGCAAAAAATCATTTGTTCATTTTACTGGCATCAAAGAAGAATCTTCATTTGTTCAAAGAGTATCGTGTCTAGTTCTAGGATGCACCAGGGACTCCTTCCTAACGGTTTGGTCACTATTCTCCAAGAAATACACAGGAAGCCAAACCTCTATAGATTCCACAAGTTTGCCTCTTGATTTATAGGATAAGCTGGATGCCAAAAAGACAAACACCAAGTTTTCAAAATTTCAGAGCCATGGAGAATGCTATTACTATGCTTTAGAGTAAACCCTTAAGTGAAAGGTTTTCTAGTATCAGAATAGATTCAAAATGAGTGAAATGTTCCAGTATGATAGTCAGTTCTCAAATAAGTATTCAAACTTAAGAACTGAATAAAGCAAACTAATCAGCAACTTCAACTAAAGAGATAGTATTTTACCTAGCTGATGAAAGTCAGTGATTGCCTAGGAATGTCCATTCCACAATGAACTAGACCAGTTCTGCTACATAACTGGTTCCCCTATGTAGTCTGGTCCCTTAGAACATACCACTATTGTCAATGTCACACAATATGTTTGTGAACAGCTTGTGTCTACAATAGACAACAAATATTGTGTTCAGTATATATTTGGCTTGACTTATAGATGCTCACAAAACTAAGCTAGTGTATTTTGCCACAGTACCTAATATTCATTATTGAAGCCCTGCATATTAAAAGCCCAGCCTTGCACCAGTACTTGTGTTGTGTCAGCTCCCATGCGTCTTCATCAGGACTGTGCTTAGAAATGTAAAATAAACATCATAGCAGCCTATTTGTCAAACTATTTTGGACAACTAAAATCCCGTTAGATGTCACCTGGAGGCACTCAAGTACAGTTTTCACCTTGGCACACCGTACAAACTACATAAAGTCAAATTTCAAAAGAAAGGCTATGGGCTAATTTTCATGATCTCTGAAGCAACTCTGCTTACAGAGGCTGTAATCCTGAATCTACCATAAACCATGGAATTTTGCTAAGACTGATGAATTTCTTTCCAAGAACCAAAGCCATTTTAGACAGGCAATCCTACTTCAAATCTCTGAAAGTGCCCATTCTGATTTAGACATTATATATTTGGTCCCACACAAATAGGTTTGATTCTCTTTAATTAGAGAAAGGAAAACCATATCTAGCATTGCCCCAATGTAATGTCATTGTTGGATCCAATGAACCATTTGCGCAGCAATAACAGGACTGATGTGACTCAATGGAAGCATTCAAATGTTAGGTTTGAACAGGGCTTTGGCAACACAGTAACTAGACTTTTGACTGCAACCTCACACAAAACCAATGAAGGTGGTTCCAGCAATTCTGCCACAGAATGTAAGTACATAGCAGACCTATGCAGTACCATATGGCACCTTTTTTTGCCATGGCTTTCCTCTCAGTGCAACATTTTATTTCCCCCCATATTACAAGTCAATGGCAACCATTCAGTGATCCGAGAGAGAATAAAGAATAAAACTTGATCCCACTGGTATGTTTTGTGACTGCTCTATGCCCTGTTTTTCTGAGTCACCCTAGATCTGGCTTTGCTATATAAAATGAGCCACTGTGGATGAGTGGTTAGAATGTCAGACTGGGACCCAGAAGACCAGGGTTCAAATCCCCACTGTGGCCATGAAGCTCACTCTGGCCACTGAAGCATTTTTCATGATCCCCATTCATATTTATCTGCCAATCATAAGCTGCAGCTCCAATGAAAGCTTGTTGAGAAATTGGCACTGGATCTGACTCTTTCACACTCGAGTTGTACCCGTTATATTTTATCTGCACAATCAGAACTGAATTTCAGCAACCAAAAGCCATATTGAGAAATTTGGTTTTAGGACTACCTGGCCCCAAAACGGCAACTAGGGCTATCCATTTTGGTGATGGCAACCCTGGTTTAAGGAGCCTTTTGGCACTTAGCTTATGTATCTGAGATTCTAACGCTGCAACTTACATGGGCACCCTGTTCATTCCGAACCACGCTTCGGGCAGCCACCATCTCCAACGCCATTCTTCCGCTCAGGTGCGAATACAAAAAATCACAACCCAGCCATTCCAACAGAAGGCGGCGGCGACGACACAACAACACTGTGTGCAATAGACGTGCATGGCGGCAGCAGGCGGAGCAGAGAAGAAGGGAGCCCATTCCCTCTCCAAAACATGTGGCGAGCAAAACGAAAATAAAGTCGGCTGCCACCAGGGGCCCATTGGCGTGGTTGCTGCCCAGGACCCAATACCGAGAAGGCCCGGCTCAGATTCGGAGATGCAATCCTGCGCGCACTCAACTCGGCAGGACCTACTTTGGAGTAGGCGCTGTCTGCCAGGGCGAAAAGCAGCAGCTCGCGCGTGGGGAAAAGCGCGCAGGCGAGAAAAGGGGACGGAGGCGCGGGAAAGCCCTCCCAGCTGGGCCTCCACCTTCTCCCGCTACCACCCGGAGCCCTCCCAAGGCGAGGCCCTCCCAAGCCCCACCTGAGGCGGGCCCGGCCGGCGCCTCCCCTTCACCAACTCCCAGGTGAAGAGGCGAGCGGCGGGCCTCGCTGAGGACGGAGCGAGGGTGCCTCGCGTGGGGGGAAGGCCAAGGGGGTCGAGCCCCGCTTGCTCCCGTAACGCCCTGCCCGGCCCTCCCGCACTCACGATGGTGACGCTGGCCTTGCGTAGGTCGCGGTTCTCCTCCTGCAGCGCTTTGCACTTGAGCTTGTAGGTCTCCAGCTCGATCTTGAGCACCTTGTTCTCCTGCTGCAGCGACGCCAGGCGGTTCGTCAGCTCCTCCAGCCGGAACGGCGAGATCACGATGCCGCCCGCTTTGCTGCCCCCCGAGGAGCCAGGCCCCGCTGGGCAGCCGGGCAGAGACACCCCCGGACCGCCGCCGCTGCCCCCCGCGCCGTCCGTGTCGCTCTCGCTGGCACTGTCGGCCATGCCCGGCCCTGGGGAGGCGGCGGCTCCTGCTGCTGTTGCACACACCTCAGCGCGCCTTCCTGCTCGTCTGCCCGCCTCTCGGGCAGCTGCGGCTGCCGAGGCTGTGCTGCTGCTGCTGCTGCTGCGAGGCACGGAGGCGGGGTCGGCGGCCGAAGCTCACCGCCTGGGCCGAGCAAGCGACGAGAGGCTGGCGCACGCTCCGTCCGCACCGAATAAGCCGCTCTCGCTCGGCTCCAAGAAGGGAGCTGCCCGCTTCCCCCGGCGGGCCCACAGCGACGCCGGCCGCGGCCTAGGGATACTGCAACGGATACAGCCAATTTCCATGGCTGCCTGGGCGGAGACAGCGCCGACGCCGACGCCTCCCTGGGCGGAACCGCAATCTGCACGCCAAAAAAAGAAAGGCGTCGTCAATAGTCTCTAGGTAAAGCAGCGCCGCCGCTGCTGCCTCAGGTGAGCTTCGGGCGGCACGGCCTTCAGGCCCACCAGAACTTGCAGCCCGAGTTATATATATGAGAAAGTAAGTCGCCCACCACCACCCACCCCCGGTTGGACTGGCTTCTGAGGGGAAGGTGCGCGGCGTTGCCTTGCTAGGCGCTCTAAGGCCTTGTGCACAAGCAGGTACTTCGGGGTAACTGCCCTGCCACGGGTTGCGTGACCTATGGGCTGTAAAGTTACCTCACGACTAAAGCAAAAGCCCATGGCAACATACCCAAGTTTTATTTCAGATGGCCCTTTTGACACGTAAGAGCCTGCTTTGTCAAGAGTAAGCAGTGGAAATGGGTGGGGTCCCATGTGAGGAAGAATACTTGCAGGCCGCTATGGCAAAATGAATGCACTACTACTACTACTACTACTACTACTACTTTATAAGCCGCCTTTCTGACTGGGTTACCCCAGCCATTCTGGGTGGCTTCCAACAAATTAAAACACAGTAAGACATCAAACATTAAAAACTTCCCTACTATACAAGGCTGCCCACAGAGGGCAGTTATTTGTTTCATTGATATCGGATGGGATCATAGGCGCCGACTCCATGGGGCTTGAGGGGGCTCGAGCCCCCTCAAAAAAATTTTTGGGGGGGCTCAGCCCCCCCAATAATCTCGGGCGCCGGGGGCGGGGGCTCCTGCCTCGCTGCTTCGCAGCACCACCGCCACTGCCAAGGCACTGCCGGGGGGAATTTCCTTCCTCCTGGCGGTTTCAGCCCCCGCGAGAACAGGGGAATCCCGACTGGCCACACCTCCCAGCCAGCCAATCGGCTGGCTGGGGGGCGTGGCTTGCCCTATTTAGGGCCGGAGCCACTTTATTTGCATATTCATGAGCTTATTTATTATTCATGAGCTTTCCCGGGCCCCCCCAATATTTTTTATAAGTCCGCGTCCCTGGATGGGATACACTCTTCAGCAAAACTTGCTTTCAGCCCTGCCTTCTCTACAACACAGTCCCCGCTCATGTTTACAGTGGAGGCATGTTTCAATGAGTTCTCTGGTTTTTCCCACATAAATGCACACATGGCCTCATTGAACACAGTGAATCTTCTGAGTAAACTTTGCATAAGAGCCCACTGCTAGTCTACTGCTGTGCTTGAGTTTTACAACAGGATTCGGTTATGAAAGAAACATATAAAAAGGGGTCTCGTAGTAGCCTGAAAGTCATGCCTTTTTTTCTTCAAAATCCCAGTCCCAGATTAGACTCCCCCATTTTTGGTTTTGAAAAAAACAAATCCAGTGTAGAATGCAAGCCTTTGCAGAATTAGGCATGCCTACATTTGCTCATTTGAAAGGCTTATTCTTCTTTGGTGATCACTCATAGCTGAGTAAGATTGTCTTCCATTAACACAGTTTTAACAATGAGTCCGTAAATGAATGTGGAGTCCTGCCTTTTTACTTGTAACCAGACCTAAATTTAGATTCACCAAATCTAAGCAGCATTGTGGACTTGTTTTTTCTTAAGTTCAATTTGTTTTGTAATGCTATGACTTGATAACATCTCAATCCTTTCTAGATGTAAGGGAGAACAAGGTTGTTATCTTGGCCAAGGTTCTGCAGAGAAGGTGTGGTAGTGGGTAATATGAAAGAGCCAGTGTGGAAACTCAGATCTTGCAGCATTCCTTCCACTTAGTTCAGTGCTAAGCTCCTTGAGCACTGGCTTTTGTTTTTCATACCACTATTTATTTATCTTTTGGTTGCTGCACACAGGGTTCTGCTATGGTGCAAATAACTTTATTTTCCCCTGGTGGTACTCTTAAATTACAGCTAGATTGTCCCCAGTCTTCTTATATCTGGGGCAGGGGGTGGTAACATGGTGCCCATAGGCATAGTGGCATCTTTGAGGTCTTCTCCTGGTGCCCTTGAAACCTCTGAGCCGACCCCCAGTCCCCACTCACTGCTCCCTCAGTTGTAAGATGGCGAGGCTGGTGTTTTTATCCCTTGAAATGTTCAGAGCTGAAGGAGGAAGTTGGAAGAGCGACACCCTTTCCCACTTCCTCTTTCAGCTCTATGTTTAATTCTTTTGGATCTCAGTTTAACCATGAACCTAGAAAGCTTGGCCCCTGATCTAAGGGGATGCTGTATGTGTGATGTGACATAATAGTGATGCAAGTTTCTCTAAACCTGCAGATGGCAGCCGGTGAAGTGGGGCAGGAGGGGTAAAGAAACTCAACCGTCTGATGAATTATTGTTGAATATTGAGAGACCTTAGTGTTACTTGAGAAAGATGAGTAAGAGGCATGAGGCTGCTGTTTTCTGTAGCAGCCCTATGTGTCTGCTGCAGCAGCATGTTGGCTTTGTCTCAGTTACTATACAGTGGTACCTCGGGTTAAGAACTTAATTCGTTCTGGAGGTCTGTTCTTAACCTGATACTGTTCTTAACCTGAAGCACCACTTTAGCTAATGGGGCCTCCTGCTGCCGCTGCGCCACCACTGCACAATTTCTGTTCTCATCCTGAAGCAAAGTTCTTAACCCGAGGAAATATTTCTGGGTTAGCGGAGTCTGTAACCTGAAGCGTATGTAACCCGAGGTACCACTGTTTTATTAAGGGGCTAACTATGTGTTCCACTAAATGGCATTATTAGTGAACATGTGGGTTTTAAAAAGTTAAATTTCAGCTGTGGAGATGGCAATTTGCAGTAGAAAAAGAATGCTGTGATCGGCACCAATGTCTAATGCTAATTGCTACATGCAGCAAATGGGACAATTTTTGTAGAAATCATGAATAGGGAAGAATATCATAGAACTGTAGAGTTGGAAGCTCCCACGAGGGTTATCTAATCCAACCTCCTGCAATGCAGGAATTTTTAATCCAGTGTGGGGCTTGAACCCACAACCCTGAGATTAAATCTCCTTCCTGCTCTATTGACTGAGCCACTCAGTGTACTTATGGAAATTCCACCCCAACACTTGGGCTGCTATTTAACTTAAACACATACACACAATTGTGATTGCTGATTGTGCCATTAATGTAACATTTTAGTTATGAAATTTGTATCCTGCCCTTTCAAAGAAGCCTGGGGAAACATGAAGGTAGGCTTATGCGAGCCAGTTGGGTGTTCTCTCCTGGGAGTAGGGTGCTGACTGTTGAAGAGACTCCTTTCTGCTCCTTCTAAAGGACATAAATAGTTAATAAGAAATAGGAGAAGTCAGGTGCTGGAATAGCATACACAAGCAGCCCACTGTACATTTCACATATATGAGCAGTCTTGGGAAGTGTCTAAGCAATCCCCCCCCCCCAATATTCAAATGGAAGAGGTTGTTGTGCTCTGTGACCTTTGCTGTTATTTCAAAGGCAGCAACTTTCTGTTCAAATGAACTTTGTTTTTGTTTTTTATCATCACATACCACTTGAGATGGTTGCCTGAGCAAAAGATCCTGTTTCCATGGAGGGAAAGAAAGGTGTGTCCTCTCACCGTGTTGATAAAATAACTTGTGATGCAGTTGGCGCTCCATGCAGATGCCCATATGTAAGAACGGCCATACATATGGGTGAAATATTTTGTGCTTTGGTGCATACAAGTATCTCTGTATGCCCTATTAGTGGGATAAAATCTATTAATTAGGCATGTGCAGGAGTCAATGCTGAGGTTTTATTTTCCATTCTTCCATGGGAATTCTCAAGCTGGCTTTTGATGTTTCCTTATCCCCAAATGGTGATGGCTAACAAGAGTGTCTCCCATTTAAAAAAGAAATAACAGGTGGGCTTCAGATGGACATAGCACAGACACACACAGCTGAAATTATAGGATAGTCATCCCACATCCTAAGAAGTTTTGGTATATGGTGATGCTTGCCTGCCTGATTAGAGGTATCACTTGAATTTGAGGGAAGGGCAAAATAAGACAAAAAGAAACACTTGTTAAGGGTACAAAACACACATTACTCATGAAAGTGGTGACAATTGTGATAGGGCATGTTGGCCAGTTTTTCTCTTCTTTAGGTGGCCAGCATCAGCATGAAGTCACAATCAGTGTGATGGTATAGTGTGATAGTTTTTGTAAGATGTTGCTGTTGTTTGCTTGTCATATTTTAACACTGTGAGGCATCTTAGGAAAGTGTTAAACAGCTGCATAATGTTGAAACTGAAAAGATACAGATAACTAATCTTATGTTCTCTGGCATATTGTGGGAGGGAGCAATGTGACAAAAAACTGTTGTGTGAAGGAGCACTTGGCTGACTTTACTTTGTGCCAGCCTTAAAATGGCAATGTCGCTTCTAGGCTCCCTAAAATGTCCCACAACGCCTGCTTTCTCAAAATGAAAATTTGGCCTCTGCAAGCTGGTTCATTGTGCTCCCCAAGTCACCTGTTCACAAAGCCCACGTAATTGGTAGTTATTCAATTATTTATGCAGCTGCTCTGGCTTTTAGCAAAAGTAGTAATTCTTGTAATGGCGGTGTATGTGGGATTTAATTATCTCTTACCATAATAGTTATTTGTTTGTCCTGCTCCACAAAGGTCTTCTTATTTAATCCTCATTTAATAGTTCTCTAATGGCATATTCTGTCATGTAGTTGCCCAGCTTCATCCTCCTATGGATAAGAAATTAGACTCCTGTGCACACTTATGCCCAAGTAAGCCTCATTGAGGGACGTGGGTAGCGCTGTGGTCTAAACCACAGAGCCTAGGGCTTGCCGATCAGTAGGTCGCTGGTTCGAATCCCCACAATGGGGTGAGCTCCCATTGTTTGGTCCCAGCTCCTGCCCACCTAGCAGTTCAAAAGCACGTCAAAGTGCAAAATAGGTACCGCTCCGGCGGGAAGGTAAACAGTGTTTCTGTGTGCTGCTCTGGTTCGCCAGAAGCGGCTTAGCCATGCTGGCCACATGACCCGGAAGCTGTCTGCGGACAAACGTCAGCTCCCTCGGCCTATAGAGCGAGATGAGCGTGCAATCCCAGAGTTGTCTGCAACTGGACCTAATGGTCAGGGGTACCTTTACCTTTAAGACTCATTGAACATAGCAGGACTAGCTTCTAAGTAACCAAGCATAGGATCAGCCCCCCCCTTTAACTTTGGCATTTTGATTCATAAGCAGACAAACCTTGTAATATTTTTGGGGCAGTGGCAAGGAGACCTCCTTGAGCTGGTGTTGTATACTGACTGAGGCTGCAGTCTTACTCACCCTTACTTGGAGCGAAGCCCGTTGCATTCAGCGGTACTTGTTTCTGAGTAGACACAGGATTGCACTGTGAGGCACTGAAAACTATACTGGTGTGTGTTTAATGCAGTGATGGCCAAATTTGGCCCTCCAGCTGTTTTGGGACATCATCCCTGATCACTGGTCCTGTTAGGTAGGGATGATGGGAGTTGTAGTCCCAAAACAGCTGGAGGGCCAAGTTTGGCCATCACTGGTTTAATGATTGTGAAGAATCTTGGATGCTGACACCCCATACCCCTGCCCAAAAGAATCCTGGGAACTGTAGTTTACTTCTCATAGAGCTACAGTCCTCAGCACTCTAAACAACCTGCAGTTCCCATGATTCTTTGTGGTGGTGGGGAACATGTTTTAAATGTATTGAGTGTTCTCAGTCAACTTCCAGAAACTTCATTCAGCATGACCAATTGTGAGGAATGATGGTAGTTCAACATCTGGAGGGCAGTAGGTTACATCTGGAGGGCACTCTAACTTACGAGGAGTTCCACACATGCATCTATAATCAGCTTAGAGCCTCTGTCCTTGCGACATGTGAATTTTGATACTGCGGGAGATAATAAAGAAGAGAACTTGGAATGTATATTGCAGCTACAGTAGGTTTTACATTTGCATTATAGACTCATTTAAGAGGCTTTTTAAATGCCTTTTTCTCCTTAAGAGTCTGCTCCAATCACTGAAAGATTTCTCTCTGACTTGCAATTAAATAGCTGTAAAGAGTACACTACAGATGGCATTATGGTTTTGGGAAAGCAGACAGCAGGCCCCATTTTCCTTGTAAATGCTAGCATTTTCAATTTTCAGTATTTAAATGACTCAGGAAAAATACATGCTGCATCAATAAGCTTGCTCCTCAATGAATGAATTTAAAAAAGGCAGAAAAATAGGAACTAAAATGTCAGCATTTGGAAGCTATGCTCTTAAGTGGTTTGGAGGAAATTGTGGCCTGTTACCTGAGATATGGAAACCGTAGCCTGCATTTTGCCATGCAGTGGAACTTGAGAGGAAGATGTGGGCTGCAATGCTATACCTGCTGTCCTAGGAGTCAGCCCCGCTGAACTCAATAGGACTTACTTCTGAGCAGTGTTTTTCCCCCCTAAGAAAATGTTTAGCAGTGCTCTCATTTTCCTACTCATATTGAAATACTGCCCCTCAATGAGGCCTAACTTAGATTTACAAAATGTTTAGCGGTATGCATCCCCCCAGCAAAAAAGCACTGCTTCTGAGTAAACATGCTTAGGATTGTGCTGTTGAGTGCCTTACAAGAAGATACTTGCACTATGCTAGGTAAAAGCTAGTATTTAAATAATGCATTTAAAAAGGGAATATGTTTTGGGGAGAGGAGAGGAAGTAACAGCTTGAAACTTGAAATCTAGTATTTCCTGCAGTTATTTTTTCCTGCTTTATTTATTTACTGGCCAGGGAGTGGAAGGGGGAATAGGTGCAGCCATAGAACTTCATTTGATATAGAACCTTACAGTTGGGCAAGGGTAATTACTCAGTTTTGTAAAACAGGACAAGAGTCTTTTGAAGAGTGGAGTTCTACTTCTAGGTCACTAGCTATATAATTGATTAAAGCATCTTGCTTTCTGAGCAATTGATTTTTCACCTTTAAAAAATATTTTCTCTTAAAAGAGTAAATATGGGGAAGTGCTGGCTAACATATCAACAGTTACTAATAAAAGAACACGGTGAGGTAAAAATAAGATCTTATGAAAAGGTTAAGAACTATTGTAACAGCTGGCTACAATATCACCAGGTATTGCATATCTTCAACCAAGATAAAAAAATAGGATTTGAACAGAAAACATCAAAATTGCAAAGTGAACTTCTACAACCAAATAGGAAAATAATATCGAAAATATACAGCTTGCTCCTTGAATGGGAACTGAAAGATAAGGTAATAAAAGAACCAATGATAAAATGGTCACAAGAGCTGGGCCAGACAATTCACTTAGACAGATGGGAAAGACTATGGAAAACCGATATAAATTTTACAGCGTGCTATTTGATTAAGGAAAACATAATGGAGATGTTTTACCTCTGGTACCTCACCCTAGTAAAACTAGCAAAGATGTACAAAAAACAATCAAATCTCTGTTGGAGATGCAAAACAGAGGTGGGAATGATGTACCATATGTGGTGGGGGTGCAAAGTGGTGAATCAGTTCTAGATTATGATACAGTAAGAGCTTAAAAAGATATTTAGGAGTTCAATCTCTAAAAAACCAGAGGCATTTTTGCTGGGTTTAGTATTGAGTGACATCCCCAAGGATAAAAGGAATGTATTCCTTTACGCAACCATGGCAGCCAGAATCGTAGTGGCAAAAAATTGGAAAACTGATAAAGTACCAGAATTATTAGAATGGAGAGCCAAACTTCTCGAATTCGCGGAGATGGCAAAATTAACAGCATCAATCAGAGACTGCTCTAATCCAAAAATTAATAAAGAGTGGGAATGTGTTAAGGAATACATAAAAAAGTCAGTGCTGGAGCTTAAAAATTAATATGCAAAAGTTTAAAAGGTGCAAGGAGATAGGATAATATCCTAAGGATGGAATAACAAATAAAGTGAGTAACGCAACAATAACAAAAATAATAGTAGGCAAAGAAGATCGCACACGGGTGGAAGGAAGTACTGGGTTGTGGGGGAGGGAGGTGAAGGCATTAATTGAAATTGTTAAAGATTGGCATAGGATTTAAGAGACTTAAAATAAGGAATTAAAAGAAGGAAAGCAGAAAGCAGCAAGAAATATCAAGTAAAGGTATCGGAGAGGAGATCAGTGTAAATGAAAACATGAGACTTATGGTTTTGCTATATATGATTTTATTTTGGAGTTGTCTGTTGTAAAGAATGTACATTATGTGAATAAAACAATAAAATCAAAAAATAGAAAAAAGCATTTTCTCTTTATTATGAAGTCCCTTTTTCTTTTTTGCAAGGTGCCTGAATTTTCAACTGTTACACAATAGGAGGAAATCCAGCAGGGTATGCTTCTCAACATAAAGTTGCAGACATGAAAAACCATTCACCTGCTGAATTTCTGCCTGCCATGTAGCTGTTTAAAGCACAATAACCCTCTCCCCAAAAGGTGGGAAACCCCCCCCCCCAAAAAAGGAGTGATACAAACTTGCTTTTAAAAAAGAAATACATGAAGGTTTTGATAGACATGATAGATTTCTTTTTCACTAGGAGCAAAATTCTGCCACTCATTGTGCTATCATAGTCATATTGATTCCTGTATCTTTTACAGAGAAACTGAAGCAACACCAACAATCAGCAAGACTTCTGCCTTCTCCCCTTGTTGTGTCACATAAGAGCAAGGTATGTAACTTCGTTGCTGGAGGGGTAAGCTTAGATGTTGCTGCTCTGGCTGATTGTAATACCTGTGAGGATCCTAGCACTGCCGTTGAAATGACTGGGATGTGCTGCAGGCCTTGAATAACCTCCATTGCTGTTGCTTGTTCGTTATCTGGCTAGGCATGCTGGTTGATTGTAGCATAAAAGGCACGTAGGCAGGTCCGTTGAAGCCTGAACCTTCTCTAGCATTCTTGACTGTGTTCCAGGAGTTGGATGCAAGGACTGTAGGAGGCATTTCCCCCAGTAATAGTTTGTTATAGTGAATGCTGATGTACATTGGCACAGTATCAGGAAAGTTTATAATCCTGAGCAGAGTTTGTGGAATGGTTTGAATCGTTTGATTCTAGTGTTTGTATTGTATACAGTGGTACCTCGGGTTAAGTACTTAATTCATTCCGGAGGCCCGTTCTTAACCTGAAACTGTTCTTAACCTGAAGCACCACTTTAGCTAATGGGGCCTCCTGCTGCCGCTGCGCAGCCGCTGCACGATTTCTGTTCTCATCCTGAAACAAAGTTCTTAACCCAAGGTAGTACTTCTGGGTTAGCAGAGTCTGTAACCTGAAGCGTATGTAACCTGAAGCGTATGTAACCCGAGGTACCACTGTACCTGGATGAGTCTGGCAATATGTAACATGTTATTTCACTTGTTAAAAGGGAAAGACGCAAACCATGTGTACTGGCCACATTTAAAGCAGGTTTGGAGAAAGCTAGAAAGTGGGCATTTCTTGCATTTGAAGTGTAAGCTGGGCTGAGGTGCTTTTTGATTCTAAGATACAGTTGCAACATATAGAACATAATAATTTCCATGCCCCCCAGCAAAAATAAATAAATCCTGGTGGAGACATATATTATTTTTAGTGTTAGAGATTGCCTTTATAAAAGTATTTCCACATAAATGCTCAGAACTCTCAGTGCTCACAGCACTTGTTAGGAAAGCATCTTCAGTCAGTCTTTACAGATGTACAGTGTAGATTTGGAGATTGCTGGAGTAATTTTAAGTCGCTGCAATTTACCTTTCAATTGTAGCACCAAGATGCTTGGGGATAATTTTCTTACAGTTTTCCAAGTGTTTTTGTTGCCAGCGGTCAACACTTTCTATTCATGATTGCTCTTTCTTTGACTTTTGTACAAAATACACACCTTGCAAAAGAACTCCAGACATGGGGAAATGTTGAATAAAGTATGACCAATTAGCATTATTATACAGCTTAAAAAAACAACCACCGCCAATCTGTGATTAATTGCATCTATATTACCCTCTTTGCTATAGGCACCAGGACTGGAAATAGTCATGTCTGGAGATGTCTAGCTGCCACCAAAAATAGCATCCTGACATTTTCTTGTCCTCTGTGCCCTGGTAATGTCTGCTACTGTGAAACCCATGTCACAATTTCTGGGTGCTGTGGTGATCTCCACCACATTCCACTTGGGCTGCCCTTTATGATGACTTGTAGTGCACTGATGTTACATTGTATGCTCTGTTGTATTATGCTGTGTACACCCTCTTTGTTTACTCTGCATCCAGTCAGTGCTTTTTTCTGGGAGTTCTCAAGGGTATGTAGTACAGTACCAGCACCTTTTTTCTAAAAGAAAAGCACTGCATCCAATGACCTCCCATTGCTAGTTTGGGAAGGTGTACACACAACATTAGCTACAATCTATATCTATCCTGTCATTTCCTATGAAGTACTGTGTTTTGATGCATTTTCCCACAAACTATATTTGATCTAAATTGATAAAAAGAAAGGCCTAGCTGCATCTTAAGCTGGTAATGTGTACACAGCCATAAACTCTCTGGGGGAGACAGGATTTTGCTACATGCCTGCTGTCTTGACTAGTTCCAGACTAGTGCACTATTGCCATCCAAGTTACCTACAAAAATAAATGGACAATTTTTTATATGTGGGGAGATGAAACAAATGCTTTATATTGTATAAATAACTAAAGTGATATTTAGTGTAGTTCAGCTCAGAAATAATACTTTTCAACAGAGATAGTTCACACGTGCAGTTATTTAAGTCCTCATGTACTAATTAAATCTAGAGAACAAGTGATGAATATTCATGAGTAGAATTAATCCATGAATTGAATTAATACTTTTAAAGAGAGATAAGGAGAGATAACAGTATGCTACTATGTTAACAGAATTTAAGTATTTATGATTGCAATCCAGTGGTGGTACTACACACTTACGTGCTGTGGAAAATAGTCCTTTTGTCACTGAAAAAGTTGCTCAGTCGTACTAAATGAGCATTGATCATTTGCCTTCTATTCTATTTTCGGACTCTTATCTGTTTTGATTGCAAGCTACAAGTTGCTGGTTGGAAGCCCAAAGTTGTGCAGCATTTTTATTATTATTATTCTGGAGCTTTAAGTTCCAAATCAATATAATATGAGGATATTTATCATCATAATGACTGTTCTGGAGTACCCCAAGGATGAGCTAAGAATCTGAACACTGATTAAAAGACATAAGGGATCAGCACTCCCCTCAGAAGTAGGAGGACAATGATGGACAGAGTGGAGGAACCTGGAGTAATGGTTCTTATTAGAAATGGTACAAGAAACACCACTTGTATCTGAAAGTGTTCCACATGTGAGTGAAAGGCAAAATACCTATTCTTCCAGTGCATCTAGTGAAATGCACTCCACAAAGAACTGATGGTTGATGTTCTCCATGCATCATTTTCAATCTGCTACTATAATCTTCCACTTTTCTGCAAGGGAGCTTGCCCATGTCTTCTCTTCATTGCTTTGCTACTGAAGGCAGGAGACAGGTTCCATCATAAGGCGAGCCACTATGACATCAGCAGCCCAACCTGACATCAGTAGCCAATAGCATTCACTGCACAGGAATGAAAGATGGGAAGCAGGGGTGAGACCTTGAGCTAAAGGGATGACATGGAAGCAAGCAGTGTATGGAGGGAAGGTGATGAAGTCAAGGAGGAATTCAAGCAGTATGTCTGGGAAAGAAGGTGTGGAAGAAGAAGAGCTTAAGGAGACAGAAGCTGGATCAGGAGAAGCTTGGAGGCTTACAAAATGAGAAGAAGCCAATATCAGAGAAAGAGAAGAGGTGGCAGGAGTTTGAGGGAAGATGTGAAATAATGCAGCAGGCAGAGGAGGCATGAAGGCAAAGAGATGGGAGGGACCCAGAGAAGAGAAGGTAGGGCAATCCTGCTTGGGAGCAGGAAAACTTGGGCATACAGTCTCCCTTTGTAACCACATTTTCAACATGCGCCACTCCCACCATTTCCACAGGAGTATGAATAAATACCACAATATACATATAAGTGAAGAGTTTTAACACAATTTATTTTATGCTTAAATAATCAACTAGATCATCCAGTGTTTGTGTTTTCTTCATACATATTTAATTAGAGCTATTATCAATGAAACCTGTTTTCATATGAAGATAATTAACAAATTAAAGTATTTCACCAAAAACCCAAATAAAAATGCCCTTTAAAACACAGCAGCCTTAGCAACCTAATATTACACTGCTAGAATGATTACAGATGATTGGCTTACTTAAAGATTCTACATCTTAGAGCCAGTACACAATACAGTAATATTTTTACAGCGTGCTGCCAGTCTGTTAGCTAAGAATTTCTCTTCATTTCTTTTTTTTTTAAATATCCCAAACTTGTGCTGACAAGAGCACCAACCCACTTCTAAAAGCTGCAAGCATATTCCCCCTGGTATAAAGCAAGAACAGATAGCACCCCCCTCCCTATAATGCAACTACTGTATATGTTATGGTTTCTTTAAATTTCAGGTCGTTTCCATTGAAAAAATTGGCAACAGCAACAAATATTAGATGAAGGGCTTTGTGTTTACAGGTAAAGGGCACACTCCGCCAAGCACTGCTGCTGTGTAACCAGCCTTTGTTTTCAGTGGCGGTTGTGCTGGAGCCCACTGCAAGCCCCATTTAAATGCCCGGGGGGTGGGAGGGGCCTTAGCAGCTGTGCTTGGTTGATTGCACCCCCCAGAGTTTTATTTGTCACATTGCGGCCTAGTGTTTGCAAAACTGGAAAAGATTTCATCAAAATAAGGTGAATCGCATGCATCAAAATATTAGTACTCTGAAGAAAAAAATGTTTTTTTCACAGAACTACAGAATTCCTCATTTTAGGAATCATTAAATTTGCAGCAGATTTTAAAGATTTTTTTAAAATCAAGCTAGCGTTTTGCATATACAAACATTATAATCGCTAAATATACAAGAATCTGTGAAGATACACCCAGAATACCCCTGCAGGTGTAGCCGTTTGAGACACTGATTTCTGTTCAACATGAATGCAATATTCCGTTTGTGAGCTAAGAATTATCAACATTTATTCTACTTCTCCTTAGAATTTATACAGTGTTATTTATTTACAGTGAAACTATTGATGTTAGTTATTTTTTTCCTTAAAAAAGAGAAAAAAACGAAAGAGTATTTTATTACCCTGACAGTTTGGGTCCAAGAAAAATAAGGCGAGCTGTTGTGGATTTTAGTAAATTTTAGTGTCTTTCTGTGGTTTAAACCATTTTTTCAGTGTCGTTACATCCCCTCATCCTACAGGAATTCCTTTTTTCAGATGACATCAAATTGCTTCAACGAAGCTGTTCCAGTGTGGGAATCTTGTATATACACTGCATCGTTCTCCATTGCACACTCTCCAATGCTGTGAATGAAAGTGAATTTCCATGCTCTTGTAGAACTGGCTCATGCTAAATTAAATTTGTTTTGTTCGTCGCATAAAATCCATGCGGTTAATGTGTGGAAGCAGCAAACACACACACACACACGCTTTATCAGTGACTTGAAAATTCCTGTTGATTTTTTCCCCCATTTCCTTGAGTTTCTCTCTAGAATACTGGCAGTAAAAGCGTACACAGTCTTGAGACAGAAGGGAGAGGGGTGAGGGAAGAAGAAGAAAAAAACAGTACCAATATCAGAAATCTACCTTTCAAAAGCACCT